AACCCTCAAATAGTACGAAATTTTGAACTGAGGGTTTAGGATGCAGGGTTCCCTGCTAAAGTTTTGGGCGCGCAGGGTTTACGACTTGGGAGGGGTCCCGAGCCGACGGCGCCTCTCTGACACATGAGGGAGGTTGGGGTTATAATTCACAATTTTGGGGTCGTAATATTGGGGTTATGATATTGGGGTTATAGGGTAGTTTCTCAAAATGAGGGGACCCCAATATAGACCCCAATATACTATAATCCTTATTATGGGGACCCCCAAAAAGTACCCATAATTTAGGGAAACCCCTATATTGGGAGAATGGAAAAGAAAATGGAAACTACTATAGTATATAACCCCAATATACTCCATTTCATTTTCCATTTTCTTTTCCATTTGATTCTCCATTATTATAGTTTCCATTTTATTTTCCATTATCCCACTACAATGGGTCATATATGACCTTCTGAGCTGTCAGTTTCTTCAGTGACCGCCAAATTAAGGCTTGCTCTCATTCACAGAGAGTCGCCTCCTGCAACTTACTGTTGCAGGGCAAGATGTCTAAAACCTTGGTTATTGTGGTCTAGCACGGTGAGGGCTATGCCTACCTCCAGCAACATGTGAAGGACTTGAAGCTCTTGCAGTGAGGCAATGCTATGAATCTCCTGCAGGATCAACGGCTGCTCTCCATGACTCACTCATGCTCCTCTTTAACACCAAACATGGCATAATGGAATGGTCTTGGTGGGTGCATGTTAGGCATGTTGGCGAGAGTACTTGGTGGTGCATGTGACTGCCTCAGTAACTAGCTACATCTGAGTTTCACGCCAAGTGTGCCTACGGGCTCCACCCGGCAAATTGAGCTACCTAGCAAGTTCCATGAGCGAACGAGTAGAGATGTGAGTTACTGTCCATATTACAGTTAGCGAGGGACCAGTAAGGGTGGACATAGAGGTCGCTTTGGTAATTTAGTATAGTCCCTAATTTATTCCTTCAAAAGGAACCCATATCTGTTAGTGGTCCATTACTCTTGCTCTTACTGTTACCATCACTCTTACTCTTACCATTATTATTATTGCTATTACTATTACCCTTACTATTACTATTACTATCACTATTACTATTACTACCACTATTATTGCTGCTACTAAATGTTTAGGAAATATTGGCTGTAGCTGATTTGCACCAACCAAGGCAAAGCTTTCTGCCCGGCCAGAAGACTGTGGATGGGCCCGACTTGCAGATTTACGGGATTCCCAGGATTCATAGGGTTTAGGGTTTAGGGGTTTCCTTACTTTTTTTGTCACCGCCGTGCGCG